TTTAATTTGAACTCTTCAGGCAAGTATAAAACTTGGTTAGTAAAAATTATCCAATACGAACCGCCAAGTCTACAGTCCACGTGGACTAGTTCGCTACCGGTCAATTTCTATGTATTGGTTTTTTTTGGCCTTTGAAAGTGCCGACAACTTTCGAAGTGCACAATATCGTTTACTTCGACTATACTTATATTGATTAACAACTTCATTCGATATTGTAGAATTATGATCGGGAGAACTTTAATATGTATTCCAATAACAACTGACTCAATTATCATTCGATTGTTATCCCTTCGATGTCGGTAACAAAACTGAATGATTCAAGCCACTTGTGGAGTGCTTTTTTTCGATAGGTAAAGCCGTACATGCTTCGTTAGCAAAAGTATTAACGAACTGATGCTAATAACAGTGATGTACTATTCCAGCTTCACAGTAATCAACATGAATCTGTATTTCCACCTCTTTTCTATTTTCCGAAGCTTTGGAAAAACAATTGGTTTGGCAGATTATTTTGAGTTTAAGAGAGGATATTTGATGTGGAATATCTCTGGAAAACCCCTTTTTTCTCATTCCACATTACAAGTAGTCTGAGCATAAAAAGTATGATGTAAATCTCAATCAAGGTCATAAAAAGCAATTCTTTGCCGAACGACACTGCTGAGGATATCTGCAATGACTCTTGATATCTGCAATAACACTTCGAGATTCTGATACACGCAAAACCATTTAAAGCCAATTCAAAACGGAAAAAATGAAATTGCCTACTGACAAAGAAAAAGCCAGTATTGTTGAATACCAGGCTTTTTCAGGCGTATCTTTACGTTCCATTATTTAAAAATAGTGTGAACATGTCCCAGTTCCAAGTCTATAAAAGGACAAATGAAACAAAATTCAATTGAGTGTTTGAATTGAAAATAGTCAAAATATTCAAATTCAATCAAGGTCAGAAAAAGCAATATATCTGGAACTTCAGGAGTATCAATATCAAATAATTTGAATAACTGCGCCTTGCTGAACTTCCGATTGTATAATTTCATTCATTCTCATCTAAGGTTCGATGCAAATTATTCGACATGCTCTTTCTATACAAATTGGAAAAACGCTGAAAGTCGTGTATTATAGACTGTCCTCTGAATTTTGTTTTCAATAAACAGTATTTCCACTGAGTTTGGCGTTCGCACATTGAAACGTAGATGTCGCCCAGACCGCGATTCTTCCGCTAGAGTTTACGCAGATAGTCTATATATAAAGGTTACGTCCTTCTTAGAATACATTCTTTGCGCCATCTTTCTGTGGTGAACGAAAAGTTGGTCTTAGTTTAGTAAATCGTTGAAGAAAAATGTATGACTGTTACAACCTCTGGGCTGAATATGTCGCTAGTGGATATATACTATTCAGGATGAAAAAGGTGTTTCCAGCATTTCCAGTATAAGTCCGTTTAATGAAATTAAAAAGAGGAAGTTAATTACAAAATACATAGAATAATTTCGCTAATTAGTTGAGGTGCACATTATACCAAAAATTTCACAAAGTGATTCTGTAAACAAGGCCACTAGAATCTTTTTCACGAATGTGTTCTAATATATTTTTTTAAATATCAATAAGTATCAAATTCAATCACTTCCAAGTTACACAATTATTCAGATTGTTAGGTACATTTCATACTTTCAGCTTTCCAATTGAATTTTGACACATAATACAGCAAAAATGAAAAACTTATCATATCATACACTCTTCAACTGACTACTGTTCAAAATCTATTTTTTCGTTAACCAGCTGTCGCAGCCCTACGAACGACAACCCTCAGAAGTCTAAACTTGTGCGAGCTAAGGATTTACGAGGTCTTACCTTTCAACATGTGATTCCTAATACGGGTGTGACGATAGCAAGTGAAAATCGTTCGTTCAGACTTGAACTACCGGCCAACACAGCAGTCAATTCGCGTGAGTGAACAAAGCACCCACGTCGAACCGCCTGGCTACCGACCGAGCATACTGGCAGTATACAGGGTGTCCCTGAACTTCCTCTTTTCCTTTCGGGAATGTATAGATGGGGTCAAAATATCACCAGTACTTCATATAACTTTTTTTCCTAAAAGTCTTCGTAACCAAGTTACGGGCCCTCGAAGTTACAAAATGAAAAATGTTTTTCTTTGATAACTTTTCAAGTGAATATTCAAAATCATCCAAATTTTGGTAATTGACTAAACAAATGAATTCCGTCGATGAGCTTTCATGCAGGAGTCAGTTGTTTTGCTACAAAGTCAGGAACGG